TCAATAAAAATACTCATATATCAAGGGAGTTCTATGGTTCACTTAGCTCGAAAATTAGTACCAAAAAAAAAAGCATATTAGGTATTATTTTTGCGTTAACTGTTTGTACTACAGATAATACCAATACCCAGATTGATAATTCAATGTTAATCGTTGACAGCGCATGTGACCTATGACGTCTCTTATATATTATTCTGCCATCTATCTATAATTATTATGAAACTACTGTAAGAGTAATCTGGTGGTAAACTTCCAGGTGGTCAGTCGGTAACAACGTTAACTACCATACAATTTATCACTCGGATATGAGTTAATTTTAAAAATCTTCAGAAAAGGTGTAGCCACTGAAGATGCAGCATTCAAACTAACAGACAATGTGCTAAAGTCTATTAACCAAAAAATGCATGTTGGAAGAATTTCCTGTGATATACCAGAAGCTTTTGACTGTGTAAATCATGAAATTTTGTTGGATAAATTGCATTTTTGTGGCATTCAAGGAATAGCAGGGCAATGGGTCAGATCCTATTTAACAGATAGAAAACAAAAGGTCGAAGTGAAAGCTCCTAAAACCAAACGGAATTTTTTCTTAAACTAGAGAACAATAAAACATAGATTCCCCCAATGGTTAATTTTAGACCCCTTGCTTTTTATAATATACATAAATGACCTTCTTCCAACAACAAATCAACAAATACTTTAACAGAACCCATAATATTTGCTGATAACACAAGTGTCAAAATTTCTAATAAAAATTTTGATAATTTCTGTTCAACATCAAGCATAGTTCTGTCTCATATGAGTAAATGGTTAGAACCTGAAAATTAAAGCACACAAAACAATAATTTTGCCTGTTCTTTTGTATGGGTGCGAAACATGGTCTCTCACTCAGAGGGAGTAACACAGATTGCAGGTGTTTGAGAATCGGGTGTTAAGCGGAATATTTGGGCCTAGGAGAGAAGACGATGGGGCGTGGAGAAAACTTAAAAAGGATGAGCTTAAAAATCTGTACTCCTCCCCAAATATTTTCAATGCAATAGAATCAAGAAGAATGAGATGGGCTGGGCATGTAGCGCGCATGGATGGGGCAAGAGTGTGCACCGGGTATTGGTTGGGAAGCCTGAGGGGAAGAGATCGCTGGGGAGACCTAGACGTAGATGGGAGGATAATCTCAGGCGGGATCTATGGGAGATAGGAGTTGAAGGAGACTGGATTTTGTTGGCCCAGGACAGGGTCCGGTGGAGGGCTTTGGTTTATTCGGTGATGAATCTTCGGATTTTAAAAGTTATTTAGTCAGGTAGTTACATGTTCTTATAGCCTCTGTCACCGGGTGAGAGAAATATGAGCCTAGGGCGTTTGAATTTCCCACTTGCGTATGAATACATGAACTACATCAGAAGTAGCACCTAGTAATTTATTACCCGTTTTTCGGTGCCTTGAGCATCTGCGAGTCCCAACTTTCGTTGGCTTTGATCTATTAGAAAGTTGGTAGGACTCCTTGGACGAGGGATCGGCCCGTCGCAAGGCCTCTACCTGTACAAATGACAGCACAACACAGAGAGACGCGGACAAACATCCATGCCATGAGTGGGATTCGAACCCACGGCCCCAGTGACCAAGCGGCACAAGGCCCACGCCTCAGACCACGTGGTCACTGTGATGGCTAATTTATTAATAACTAGCGCAAAACGCTCCTTTCGTCTATAAATTTCTGTTGATATTTAATACTTCGTTTTTTAGTGTGTTTTTTTGTCTCTTCTGTTAAATAGGTCTGATGTTTTAGTTTTCAAGAATACGATGTGCTGCTTCTGGAGCAGTGATCATTCGACTCGGCACTGTTGTGTTGGTATACCAACACAACAATGCCGAGTAAACAAATCACGCTTCACAACGACGAGATCACCAACTACCAAGACAGTCGCATGATCACTGCTCTAGATGACGTCATTGTTTGGCGACGACGGGGAATCAGAAATTTTTATAGTAGAACAGAAGTAAAGAGAAGAAGATTACGTAAATATGAATGCTACATTGTTGATCTGGGCTGCTTGTAAAATCATTTGTCGTCAACATATTGTTTACGTCTGAGAGGTGGGAGTTTGTGACGTAACAATGAACATCAAATCCCGAATCTGTTGTAAAATCTGATGTTGCCAAGAAACAGTTGGTAAACAGTGTGTGAGGAAAAATGTCGTTTTCTTTGTCCAGAGTTCCTAGGTTTAAGGATAATATTAGTAAGTGTATTAATCCATATAAACTAGTGACTTCACGTAAACCCATTCATACACCGACATTTCTAATACAGTCAGCTTCAGAAAACAAAATATAACAAATATTTCTTGGCCTTTTTTTTTGTATTTGTTTTATCACGTCAAGAAAGCAAAAATTTGTTCTATTCTTTGTGTGGATATTAAACGTGCTTCTTAATACGAGGGAGTAACATTTTTTACAAAATTTCAACATGTGATGTACAAAATATTTGAAATTAAACTGAATGATATTAATTGGATATAATAAGTAACAGGCGACGAAATATTTTTAGTAGAGTGAAATACTGACGATTGATCTTGTAGCAAACAAAGAAAGCATGCAGAATTTTGGCATGAATGCATCTTGGAAAACAGAAAAAAAAGTGTGAATGTCAATGAGACTGATCTCTAGTGAGCTGGTTTATGAGGATGGGAGATTGATGTAGGTGGCTTAGGATTGTGTCGATTGACGGACTTTGGTATTAGCGATGTTTAAACCTTAGGTGTGTGCTCCCAGTTTATCTGCATGTTTTGTTGCCTAATCTAAGTACATAGTCAAGTTTTATAAATACACAAAGCATGAATATAAATACACATTCACTGTTATTATATCAAGACTGGTTCTGTGACATGCCAGTTATGAATAAATAAACACAGTGTACATTATTTTTTCACTTATGTGTACATAAATGTAAACATTAACATTGATTAGTTAAATGGTACAATATAAAACGGTGGTGACCAGATAAATGCGCACTTGAAGCAAGCCCACACAAAAATTCCGGAGAGAAAAAACCCACTGGCATAAATGCTCATATGAAAAATACCCACACGGAAAATTTCTCACACAGAAAAATACGAATAATTCTCACACTATTTTTAGTTTACAAAAAAAAAACAAATTTTGCCAATGGGGCCCAGGTTAGGTTAGGTTAGTATGTTTGAACTTCACTTCATAGCAAGCACATAACGCTTTATTAAGAGTGTATTACTTAATAGTATTATGAATGAGAGCATTTTTGTATATGCATATTTTTCTGTGTGAGCATTTTCCATGTGGGCATTTATGACTGTGGGTTTTTTTTTCTGTGCGGAATTCTCATGTGGGCTTTTGTCATGGAATCGTAAGATATGCTTTTAACTTCTTGTTCCTCACTAATTAATATTGTGGTATCGATTGGACTGATTGTCAGTTTTGCCCATCTCCCATCCTCACAACCGGTGTTCCTAAGAGCAAATTGATTTGTTGTTATGTGCCCCCATCCCAGTGACATCATGGCGAGATGGGCCTTTGATTCTGCTTCCATGGTATCAATGACACCAGTAGCTGACCTCGTATTAATCGCAAAGTTCCTTGTTATATAATAACTAAAGTCGCTTATCTTAAGCTTCTTAGGTTCAGGTATTTTGAGACACTTCAAATTTGTGTTCCCTCCTTACAGACAATTTCTTGTGTCCATACAAATATTGTACTACTCGTTTTGAAATACATCTGTGGTTCTTCCTTAGGCTGTACACCTCCTCCAACGAGATATGTGGCACGCAGCAATGACAAAGTGATTGGATATGTCTCATACGACAAGCAGAATGTAGCCCGGTTTGATGGTGGACAATGCAACACTCAAGTCGGATGTCGAGGAATGTCCAGGGTAACTATTCTTATGTAATTAATTCCAAACAGTAAGATCATTATTTAAAAAAAAAATTATAGACATTCAACTGATCAAGAACCAGAAGGTTTTTTTACCGTGTTCACAAGAGCACGCAACTTGATCTTATACATAGCCAGATAAATCCAGTACATCTTGTCACAACCCTTCCATTTATGCCCAGGTCCACCAAATAGTCTTGTTTTCCTTGATTCAGTCAAATTTCCTGAATCCCCTTGTGAATGTTGGGCTTTCTTCGTGTGATGTGCACAAGATATATATGGCTGCCATGTCTGTGTGTCTGTCTTTTGCATATTTTAACGCCACGGTGGTCTAGCGGTTATAACGCTGGCCTTGTAATCCTGGGGTCTCGGGTTCGATTCCCGGCGGTGCCAGAATTTATAACTTGTGTTGGGCAAGGCCGTGGTCTAGGCAACACGGAGTTTTCCTCCGGGGGCTTCCCCGGTTTCTCCGTGGCATCCCATTCACACACAGAAGAAGGCAATGGCAAACCACTTCTGGATCATCTGCCAAGAACGTATATGAACAGGTCCCAGTCCGAGAAAAGGATGGAAGGATCCTGTTCATATGGATCTGTCGTCAGACAGAACACTACAAATAAAAACTTATCTCTGAGTGACCCTTACTTTGAAATAAAGATGTTTAACAGATTTGGGTTGTGAGGCCAGGTATTCTTGTAGGTGATTACCAGCATTTCAGAGAAATGTAGAACCATCATTTTGTGGGTAGAGATGTAAAGATTGAGGTAATAATTCCCCCCCCGAAATTATGGTACTTATATACAAGTCTGTGAAAACAATATACGAATTTGACAAGCCTGGAGTAAACCATGAAGACTTGATAAAACTTACTGATAAGGACAATGAATCACTTCCCGAAGAGTTAATGGAGACAGATATGAAGTTGACCAATCACCTCTGCCTACTATCAGTGTTAAGAATGTATGGAGCTTTACTTTCATTCCCACTTAGGTCTACGGATGAGGACTTTGGTAACTGGTATCTTTTATATCCTGTAATTTCATTTCTTTCAGGCAAAGTGTACATCTAGCCTAAAATCAAATAAAAGTAGCAGTGAGAAGGAAATTAGAACACGTCGTAACATTTCTCCTGTGTGCAAGTCACCAGAAAGCATTACACCTGAACTGAAGAAACAAATACCCAAAGAACAGGCAAGAATCTCTGAGCAAGTTCCAACTTTCCATGTTATGAAATTACAGCTCTGTGGGTAAACATACGAGGTGCGATCGGAAAGTTTCAAGACTGCGGGTATAAAAACCCGTACACTTATCTCAGGTATTAAATTCATCCATCACCCTCGAAGTAGTTCCCCTGGGAGTGAACACAACGATCCCAGCGCCGCTGCCAAGCCTGGAAGCATCCCTGGAAATCTTTCTTTGTCAGCCTGTCAAGCACCATCTGCGATTCTGCCTGAATCTCTTCTATCGTCTCAAATCGCCTTCCCTTTAGCTGAATTTTCATCTTTGAGAAGAGGAAACCTTAGAAAGGGCTTAGAAAGGAAGTTTGGGTCGGTTCTTGCAAGATCTTTGAGCTCCTGACTAACGAGAAGTCGATTCTGCTTCTGGTCCTCAGACAGGAGCCTTGGTTTCGCATGTGGAGTTCTTCCTTTAGAATCAGCTGACAGGTCGCATAGCCTATCCCAACAATGTCGCACAAGTCGTTATGGTACGACGTCGATCTTCGTGAATGGCCTGCCGAATCTTGGTAACATTTTCGGGCGTTGTGCTCGGAGATGGTCGTCCAGAACGCTCGTCATCATCGACAGGGGTTCGGCCATTTTTAAAACGTGAATGCCACACAAAAGTTTGTGCACGACCCATTGCGGACTCCCCAAATGCTTGCTTTAGCATTTCATAGGTTTCCGTAGCCGTTTTGGCGAGTCTTTGGCAAAATTTGATTTGTTCATGAAAATCCGCCATTCCGAAATCGCAAGAGGGTCGGTGTAATGCACTACCAAAACGCCCGTAACTAAGAAACAAATGCTAATTCGATGATGCCATCTGGCACACTGATTCAATATGAATGTAGGCCGCACCCCCTAGCGGCAGAAGCTCGTACTACATCCGGTTCGCCCTCTATTGACACAGTCTTGAAACTTTCCGATCGCACCTCGTAGTGATTGTACTCACTACTTGTTTCATTTGTGGAAGTACTCAAATGATTTTAATGAAATTTGGTATTTGAGGCCAATGCGCTAAACATTGTTGGACAAATTTCATTCTCTGCTTTATTTGTCTAATTAATCTCTATTTCACATTAACCATAAATAAAAAATTGGCAGTGGAACCACGGTTCCGGAGAATCTGACGTAAATACGCAAGCGCAGTAGTAGCGTGAAGTGTGATGCGCCTTGATTTGTATAAATAAATGTTTCTAGAATCTAAACCATTTGTGATATGTAAAATCTGAAAACAGATATCGAAAGCTCAAGAGGTAATACGTATTTCGTACGCAATATGTCCAGATCCATCTCTTACGGTTTTCGAGAGGCGGGCGCTTAACGCCGCCAGATGCATTGAAAATTGTACACATTGGTTCATTAAAATTATAATAAATGTATAAAAAATTATAATTACAACAAAATACATTACAGATTATTAAAGGTCTTTATTTACTGATCATTTTACATGTAGGTTACATTACCCTTACTCTTACAATTCCTGAGGAATGAACGTTTAAAAGTGACTCGGCGCTGGATCTTAAACATCTTCCAAACGCTGTTTTTGCCGAATGACCCTTCCGTATAGACGTATATTTACGTCAAAAACTATCTCTTTTCCACATAATAGCTCACCATACACAGAACTGGTGCATGTTATGTAATACGCATATATTAATGTGATTAAAATATGCAGCTTTTATTTCAAACACTTTTTGATGTGACTATCTAATAAAAAAAAGGAAACACTATTTGTCTATGGAACAGCATGTTCATATCTGCAATAAATGAACAGTACAATCTCTGGGGGTGTATAAAACAGCAAAGAATGTAAATTTAAAACTGTGCTAAAATGAAGGATCATTGATGTTTTTATTTCAGGAACGTTTTGTGGAAGAAACTCTAGGAGACAGAGTAGTGAAAAAAAATAGTTCGTTAACTCCCACAGGATCAGTTGAAGCCAACTCAAATTCCAGTGACACAGTTACAGGTAACGTGAAGTATTCATGGGATTAGAAACCATAAAAATATTGATATAATTATGCTGTACCTCTCTATATGGCAGTTTCCAGAGAATACATATTATGTTCAATGAAATTTCTTGAAAGCTATATATACATCATGGTTAAATAAATTCCATGTTTCATAAGCGTCTTCTGCTGCCATCATCAGTAATCATTTAAAGAGTCATTCAGTCAGTCATAAATAAGTCAGGGTGTACAGTGTAGGAACACTGACAGCAATTTCATTATATTTGTCGATTAGAAAATTAAGAGGTACGAAAATATCAGACGTAATTTTGTATCTGATGACAGACTGACATAAGAGTATATGGTTGTTGTGCATGGAGAAATGGGGTGGTACATCATTAGTTTAATGTTTGTCATGCGTGCTATCCAAAGTGACTGGGCACCAACTGTACAAAACTATTGTAAGAAACGTGGGTTAATCGATGTTAAAAGAAGAGAAATATTTTAACAAATAACGAACTATTCATGTCTGACTATGGACGTATCGAGTTTGAAATCTGATCATTTGACTTATTTCGCCCATTTTGTCATTATAAAACATAACAGTTTACTCTGAGTTAAACTGTAGGTATTTATAAACACAGTGTGAAGGAAAATGTTTAGAATTAAAAGATCCAGAGACGTACAGCATCAACGAGGTCGCACAGAAGACTGCGTTACATATGAGGTTCTATCCATGCAGGTTACAAGTTTGGATATGAAAAAAAAAAGAATATGATAATCATGATTACAGTAAAGTTATTTGTAAATGCAATGATAAACTTTCAGGTTCTGTAAAAAAGAAGAAATTTCTCTCTCAGTAAAATGATTATTATGCTGGAAACACTGTGCAGCCACAACCAAAATATCATTTTGATTTGTATATTACAAACATAAGTCACATGGTCTGTAAGTCATAATAAAAATTTATCACGAGTGATAAAGAACAGATGACAGTTGATAGGAAGAAAAGCTACCATAAGTATCAGTCCACATTTATCAGCAAAATAAGCGATCGTGACATGGACGTGTTCAGCTTTACTGTATAGCTTTCCTAAATGATCACAAATTTGGACATCCCTGGACTTAGTGTCTGTGCTTATTTTATCTGCAGAATCAAAACACAATCGACGAGAAGCTGAGCTCTTGAGTGAACTGCGGGCTACTCGAGCAAAGCTGAAATCAACTGAGCATCACAAGAAGGAGGCACAGGACAGAGCTAAATCCTTGGAGGAAGACAACAAAGCAGCTGTGAGTAAAAATTGAAAATCCAAAGATTTAATTTCATGTCTTAAGCAGGATTCCTTGTAATGGCGGCATCTGTCACTTAAATGTAAGAGGTAACACAGACGTTAATTTGTTGTCTCTGTGGCTAAGCACCACACCACGAAGATAAACACGGGGAATGGAGGTAAATTTCCATGTATTCTTAAAGTTAGCACTACCTGCAAGTGACCAGTGCCTTTCGAGCACTGGTCACTTACTGCAAGAAAGACCACCTGATAACTACTTAACAGGATGCTGAGTGATGTCGTTTCCCGTTCGTCGTTCCTTTCCGAGGCTTCCTTAAAGGGTTCGAAACTAGTATGTGTTTTACAGGGAGGGGTAGTCGGCCCCTCGCCCATTTAAAGGAGGCCAAGGCTCGACTTTGGGCTGTCGCGCCATAGAAGAAGAAGAAGGATGCTGGGTGATGAGATACTTAAACAGGTTTCTGTCTAGTCCCTCCCCATTCATCATAATCGTTCCTGTTAAAATTACCATAAACTTGAAAGTGAATTTCTGTTGTCTTGTATTCAGGAAGTCCTGGTTCCGTTCTTGGGCTGCAGGCCAGGAACATATTTGGTTAGTTTTTTTTTGTGTGTGTTTGCTGTAGTCTCACAATATCTTCTCATGTAAGATTCGAGGTTTTCACAGCGGTGAGTATGAAGATTTCTGTCTTCTGGGTCGTTGCGCT